TTTCCATATCCCAAATTGTCATCCCTCCCGTCACCCTCTCCTATAACCCCTATTTTTCCTCCAAGCCCAGGCTCACATGCTCCTGTCCCACTGACGGTCCAACCCCAGACCCGTCCCACCAGTCACGGACGACAGCCCGACACCCTCCCTATGGACACGCCACAGACGGTCCAACCCCAGAACCGTACCCCAACCCACCTTCGACCGTCACCTACTCCTCTCCAAAACACACAACCGGTTAACCGACCCCCGCCCCAAAACACACACACCATGCAAACCCGAGCCAAATCTGGAATTTCCAAACCTAAAGCCTATACCATTACCACCCTTGATACTACCCCACCTACCACTGAGCCTAGCACTTACCGTCAAGCCTCTGGTAATAGTTTTTGGTGTCAGGCTATGGATGAGGAGTTTATTGCTTTGAATGAGCAACGTACATGGGACTTGGTTCCACCACCCAAGAACAGCACTCCGATTGGTTGCAAATGGGTGTATCGCATTAAACGGAATGCTGATGGATCTGTTTCAAGGAACAAGGCTCGTCTTGTCGCAAAAGGTTATCATCAGGAGTATGACATTGATTACAAGGAGACATTCAGTCCTGTGGTCAAGCAACAAACAGTGCGCCTGGTCCTCTCTTTAGCACTCAACCGTGATTTGCCTCTTCATCAACTAGATGTTAGCAATGCCTTTCTTCACGGTACAATGGACAAGGAAATTTATATGGAGCAGCCCCCGGGGTACATAAATCCCACTCATCCTCACTATGTTTGCAAGCTCCGCAAATCACTATATGGTCTCAAACAGGCACCCCGTGCATGGTACACGCGCCTCTCCTCTTTTTTGCAGGGCCTTGGATTCAAGTGCTGCATTCATGATACCAGCTTGTTCACCAGACACTGCTCTCGTGGGACTATTGTTGTCCTTGTCTATGTTGATGATATTGTTCTCACTGGTAGCTCTTCTACTCTCATCTCAGAAGTTACTCAGGCCAAACACCGTGACTTCAAGCTCAAAGAACTTGGACCTCTTCATTACTTCCTTGGCATTGAGGTTCAGCGCACACAAGATTCTATACTTCTCCATCAATCCAAATATGCCCGTGATCTTCTACGCCGAGCTGGGATGTCCGACTGTCATCCGGCTATCACTCCTATGGCTACGAGACCTATCACTAAGCCTTCGTTGCCTTTCAAGGATATTTCTCATTTTCGGAGCATTGTTGGCGGTTTACATTACTTGGCTGTCACTCGTCCAGACATTCAGTATGCTGTTAATCGAGTGTCTCAGACTATGCACAACCCCACTGAGCAGGACTATCATGCCTTGCAACGCGTTCTGCGCTATC